GCAGGACTGCATGGTCCCACTGCGGGTCAAACCACCACATCACTAAATAGGGTTATTCTAAAACTTAAATGCTTGAAGCACATGTCTTAACATCAAGCAATTACACTGTTGGACTGATGGAAAAGGGATAAATAATATAGAAGCAGGAAGCAGGGCAGCACGTATGCCCTGCACGAGGCTGCTCAGGGCTATCCAGCCTGCCTTCAGCTGCAAGCAGGCTGTCCATGGGTGGTAGTGCCAGGTGTTATGAAAAAGTGTTAGTTCTAGCACAAGAGACCCAAACCCCAGGGCACTGGCGTGTGCTGCTTTATACATCCCAGCTCACCTGTCATGTAACACTTGCATCTGGATCACTCAAGATGGGGGCAGAGCCGTGGAGATGCTGGTCTGTTGCTCTGTCTGGAAGGTGGCAAGGTCCATCTCTTGGGGATCTTCTTTCCATGAATCTATCTATCTCCCCATTGTTTCTGCCCTGCCCATTGACCAACACTTTTTACCTGCATGTACCTTTTCATTTCAGTGTGATCATTGTCCTTGATCCAATACTGATGCTAACCCAAGTGTGCTGTAGTGCTGTGGGCCATTCTGATGGTTAAAGTAAAGAAAAGCCACTTCTTAGTCAGGGGCTTTCTACTAGGATTGTTAAAAATACTGTAGTTCCACAATTGTTGAAATTTTTGTCACTGGTAAATACTCCTGTGAAAGGTGAAGAAAAAAGAGGTACCTGTTGTTTATATGTCCATGACTCTTTTTGGCAGATTAGACCTGATACACGCTGCAGTGAATAGTCTGGAGAAGATGTGCACAATTCCAGGCATTTTCCTCTGATCTAGCTGTCCATTTTTTTCTTCAATTGAGTTGTCTGCCATTGTTGATCAAATACAAATATATGGCAGACAGCATAATTACATATTATTTCTGAGTCATTTGCCTGTCCCATTACCTCTGACACACCAGAATGGTTCTGGTGAGGCTCAGACAGTAATAAGTCTACTTCTTATTAGAGGCAAATCCTCTGAACCCTCTTTTCCATCACTTTGTGTTTTATGTAACCTCAGTGACAAGATGGCAACACCCTTGTTTGGATCTGGTAAGAGGTTATGTCCGCATGTGTTACATTGAAGTGGAAGTGCCACACCTTTAGTCCATTTTGAGGTTACTTATTTCTGCTTTAGATCAGAACAGTTACAACTGATCTCATATTTTTCTTCCCCTTTGAAAATGAGTGACTTTTAAAACACTTAGGTTTTAAGCTGTCTGAAAAATAAAGGTGTATGAGTGCTCACTGTCTTCCTGTGGCCAAAGGTGATCCGTAGGCATGTTGCTCAGCCTGTGGCCCCTGCATGGCTAGTGGTCCATGAGACATCAGGAGCACTGTGTCTTCTTTCATTCTAATGCAGAAGTTCCATTTTTATAAAGCTAAAACCAAAACAAAGCACTCTGCTTGCTTCAACTCCCACAACTGCGAAGCAATGTGATGATATAAGGCAACCCCTGGATATTTTTCCCAGAAAGAACAGATGGATGTTGATTTAGGAAAACAAGAAAACCGAAAAGCTGCTGATCGTGTTCCCTCCAAGCCTGTGGAATAGTGGACATGCTCTGCTTCTCCAGTACTCTGTGCGCCTGAAGCAGCCATTCTTAAGAGCTTGAGGGTTATACTGCCATGTGTCTGTCCACAGCCTGGCCCAGCTAACTGCATTGGGGAGCATGAAATCCCACCATGTTCTTCCCAGTTTCTCTCTCTTTTCCTGACACACTTGCTTGTTCATCTAGCTACAAGGTACCCAACCTCTGGCTTTCTGTGGCACCATGAATATGTCTTTTGAGTTGACATTATGATAATTTGTGAACCAGAACTTCTGAGGTTTTTTAGATAATTTTTTAAATACCCAGATTCTTCACAGGTCTGCAGGCATATGTGTAGGTTAGAAGCAGCTGAATCAGCACAACCAAGGTAGCCTCAGCTGTCAAAGATTCAGAGGTTAACCCAGATCTGCTGTTGGCGACATAGTAACATGAAGTTGTGCCCCGTGTCAGCTGAGTTTAACAGCAGAGATTCATGGAGGAGACCAAATTAAAAGCGTACCCATCTTCAGTGAAATCAAACTTGGGCACCCAAAAGGCTTCAGTGAAATCAAACTTGGGCACCCACTCACACACATACATGCAGAGTGCACTTGAAGTCTAAAGAGATGCTCATACATAAAGACAAGGAAATTATCTTAACAAATAAAGCCTAATACTGCTTTTGTTTTTCTTGTTTAATTCCTAGAAGGGTCAGCTGCAACCTGTCTCTCCAGGAAGACACCACAATGAAAAAAACAACTCACAGTTGCTTCTTACTGATCATCCTTCTAATGGTAAGTATGAGAAAACTGAACTGTTCATAACACTTGCCAAATTTAACTTTGTGGTGATGGTCAGAAAAATAGAGAGTACTGAGTTATAGTTGTTATACTGCAGGGGTAGAGGATTGAGCTCCCTTACTGATAAATTTCAAAATAAGGTTAATAAAGTTTATACATAAGATATCTTATAAAAATTGAACTTGAAAAAATTGTGTTTTGGTGAAACAAGATGTGCAAGTCTGAAAAAGGTAATGCATGTGATTTTTCATTTCTGTGTTTTACAGGCTACAACATATCAGTGATATGAGAACTTAAAGTTTTTAAAACATCATTAACATTGTTGTGTGAGACTTAGACTGACTTAAGTAATTGTGGATTATCACTCTTTATAGTTGCTCTGCTTTTAGGAGAGCAATTGAAATGGAAAATGACAGTATCAAGTGTACTTATTCAGTTCAAATTGCTATTTTCAGCTCTTTAACATCAATATCACCATTATTTCAATGTATGCAACTATGTAGCAAATTCATTTCTACTTGACTAAAAACCTCTCATGTAAGTTGAATGCTTTCTCTGATCTCTACTTGTGAAAACTCAAATTATTTGTAATTATCATAAAATCAAAGAAAATACAGGTAATCAGAAATGAGAATACTATCCAGAGCCTCAGTTACATAATGGTCAGAATAAGTCTGAGTGATGCCACTGGGAACAAGCATCTCTCTACCTTGGTGTGGTATGAGTAACTTGCATGCTGGATGCCACCTTATTCCCCAGCCATTTATCTCTATGTTCCCAACGAAAGGTTTGATTCTTATTTTTTCTAGTTGTGTTTTGTTGGTTAAGTCCTCATGCCCCTCTGCTTCTCAGCTTCTCTTCCAACATCTGAATATGGAACGTTTCTGTGGATCTCCCCATCAGCTCCCATCGTTTCTGGCTATAAATTGTAGAAACAGGGCTAGAAGCCACATTGGGGAACAGTAGAAACTGCTCTCCCTATTTTGTCTGTTGGATTGTGTCCATCCTCTTCTTCCAGCCTAGCATAACTTGCCCACAGTGCTGTTCACCTCTTACATTTATATGAATAAAAAGGGGGGAAGGAAAGTAAAGAACTATAAGAGAATGATGGATAGAAGGAGACAAAAAGAAAACAGTGAAATGAGATCATGAAGAATCCAGGACAACAACAAAGAACACCTCATTTTGGTAACATTGAATTCAAAGTTCATAGACCCTCAACCAAAGAAGAGCTGGAGAGCAGGAGAAAGAACAGAGGAGCGGTAATACATTTCTGCTAACTTTGTCTCAAAAGTATTTAATCTGGAGTTAGTTAATGATTTCAGAAATCATCCCTGTGTTGGCAAAAGTCTTCTGCCTTGAGGTGTATCGGAGGATATTTGCAGCCTTTTGTGGCTGTTACACATAGACCTGCAATGGATGGACATAGCAATGCACCGGCTGGGGCACCACCTATGGCCAGAGAACTCTTTGACCAAACGTCCTGACAGAGAAGCTTCTTTCTGGGCGTGGATCCCAGCTGATCTGCATAACCTGATGGGACCGTGGCAAAGAACAGCGAGTATTTCTATAAAAGCAGTGCCAACTGAAGGAACAGGTCCAGATTATTTTTCTTCCCCAGTCAAATGACAGGACTGTAAATATTCCGATAACTACAACTGTCAACAGCATTTCTGAGCATCTGAGGTGCTCTGACCTGCAGAATGGATTTGTAGGTCAGCCCTTGAAGGAATGGGCTGATCCTTGCCATGTTATCCACAAATCTTTTAACTCTCCAGCCATGGTGGCATGTGTGCAACATTAGTTCTGTGCTCATTCTTGCAGGGCTAGGATTTCTTGAAGAAATTCTGAAGTGAGATTTGCATCCCCTCCTTTTATATATCTTTGCACCAGAGAGCTCTTCAACTTCTGACCTTGATGGATAACTTAAGCACAAATTTCCTTACATTTTCACTTTTCCAATGTCTGTATTCCTTCCTTCCCCATTGTGGTGGCCATACCATGATCTACTTAGACACCTCCTAGATTAATTTATGATCCAGTAAGGGAGAAGCCACAGTCAGAAGTAGACCATGAAGAAGCTCTGTTTCCTTGGTGTCACTTGCCAGAACACTGCTGTTAGATCATATATGAAAAATATTTGGCATCAGTCGTTTCAAAATATTTCCCTACCTGTAGCTGGTTGAAAACATTCCTTTTTTACATTTTGTTTGTGGTCTGTAACAAGGAAAGGGTGTCTCTCTGTATTTTCCAAAAAGACTGTTGCCATTCTGTTGATTCTTTTAATCATGGCTCCAGAGCTGTAAGTTCCTGGGACTTATATGTCAGCCACTGTCTGAGGTTGGGGAAGATGCAGTAATCAAAGTGATTTGTGACATAGGGGCGATCTCCCATTTCTGTTCTCTACCCACTCCACAAACCATCCTCCAGATCTTTCTTCTTTGATGGCTTTGATGGTTTATTGTCATCCTCTCATCTGTCCCTGCACTCCCAGCTGCTGACTGGAAGCTGTTGCAAAGCAACACAACCTATTGAGGTCTTTGCTTTCTCCTCTGGGCTCCAGGCTGTCTTCTTATGACATTGCCCCCTATGCACGCCAGATTCATCCCTTATCTCTCCTTGAATGTTTTGTCCTAAACCCTAGTTGCAAGGTGTCCATAGACCTCCCCTCTACCCCTGCAGTCTCCAGCCTTTAGACCTGTCACCAAGTGGTTTTGGTACCTTCTGACAGAAACCATCTCCCTTACATATGTCACTTTTTTGCATAGAATAAATAGCACTTTACTCTTCTAGGTACAGGTCCATAATAACTTGCCTTTGCCAAACAAAACCTAAAGCACTGGTTACTCCAAAACCTAATTTAGAAATAAAACTAACCTCTTATTTTCTTCCTCTTTGATGGCTTCCCTTGCTCTTGGATGCAGAATAATGACAATGCTTGCAGCATCACCAGATAGTCCTGTACAATTCAAAGTGAATTCCGTTAGAAATTTTAATCTGTTAATTATTTCTTAGTTCACTTTATTCCTGGTACTGTCTAGTTTTTGGTAATTGTTGAGAGCCACAAAATGTGACTGAGATTTGTTTCCTAAAGTACGTGAGCCCCTGCACATTTCAGCAATTAGTTCCTCTTCTTAGTGTATGTTTCTCTCAGCAACAAAGATGGAGCATCGGCACAGTGTGTCCAAGGGCATCAAACTGCAGAGAATGAGGAGGAGGAAATGAGCTTGAGTCTCTTTCCTGTGTGATTGATCAATTTTGCAGGACAGTGAGAAAAGAGAGTTCTGTTTTCTACCTGATTTTGTCAAGTAAGAATTGTCATCTAGTGCCTACAGGTGGTTGTTTGATCTGATCCTGTAAATGAAGATTGATGGAGTAGTTTTTCTCACATACTCCAGTTTTGTTGTCCTAAGCCAACCACAGAGTGCTCAGTAAGGGCAAAATGGATGCTGCAGCTGAAGACCACACTATTGTTCAATTAGGACCATTAGATCAAGATTGTATTTTAAAATAAATTAATTTTGAGTAAAAACGGAATTGTACAAGGTCATTAAGTCCAAATCTGTCACATTGTTACCAAGCCTCAGTCACTAAACCATACACAGTCTGGTACATTGTGTCAGCTTCTGAAAGGCTTGTGACTAATTCCCGTTCCCAAGACATGGAGTATTAATTATGTGAAAGCCTAGGTGTAGATTTCAGTAACTGCACAAACTGTTGTGTTTTGCAACGCAGCTGCGGGAGGTTCAAGTCTCCAGAAGTCAATTAGTTTGTCATGGTGATGAGGACTCCGCTTGTGGTGTACTCATTCGATCCTCACAGCTGGGAGGGCAATAGGCACTGCTGAGGTGGTGTGGCCACATGCTCCCGTGGGCTCCTGCCACCTGCCCACTCAGTGGCTGTTACCACCAGTCTCCAAAACCCATGACTGTGCTGGCGGCCGTGAGCACATACCTTTTCCAGCATCTGGTCCAGAGCAAATCCCACCCTTTGGTGAGTCAGAGAGCTGCTGAAGAGCTGTCATAGCCTCCCTTGGCATGCTTCATCAGAACCTTGCTTGTTGTCTGGCACTGCTGGGAGCCCAGGGGCTTCCCCAGCCTTGGATGGTGAGATCCCCCTGGGTCTTATCACCTGAGAACCACACTTTTGAAAGCTGTTGTTCTAGAGCACACATTTCCCTTTTTAACTGTGGGTTGCTTTGCATTGTAAAGAAGTGGACTTGAAAGTTCCGGAGCTCCTCTCATAAAAGGAGAACTCAAAAAAGCAAGCTGCTGGCAATTTAAAGTGGTGAGAATTAACGTGAGAACTTGAGACTCAAGCTGCTCATGGTTTTCCAAGGAGAGGAATGCTGTATTCTGTTCTGTTCACCCCAGTTTCAGGGATGATCAAGACTTTTTGTCTCCATTTTTACTTTTTTAAAAAATAACAATGTTGCTATGCAGCTGATTGCCCTAAAGAGGCCTCTTGCAAAATGATAATCAGAGCTGCAAACAAAAATCCATGAAGTATTCTGCAGCATTCCTTTAAGCCTTCAGTTTGCATAAGGCTACTCTGGGAGTAAAGCTTCCTCGCAAATCCTGCAGCAATGGAAAAGAACTGTAAGAGTTGTGAGTTGCTTTTCATTACAAGTGCCTTGTCTTCATCTGCTGTGGTTGATAATCTTGTGCTTGTTTAAACAGCTGCCAAAATCTGCAATATAAGTCATATGGGATCTCACTGTGAGATAATTTCCATTCTATTTCAACATCAGTTGTGTATGGGAAAATTTTAACATTCGTTGTTAAGCAAAACATGTCATGTCAAGGTATTTCCCCAAAGAAATTGTCTGCTGCTTGCTAGTACATTTGTGATAGATAAGAAATGATTTTTATGTTTACTGAGTACCATGCACTAATGACCTTCGTAAGGCGTCACAATCATTTTTTTTCTCTGTCCTAACACCAGCAGCTGTGAAAAGTAGTTCAAACATAATCAAGGTACAAGAGGGGCTCTACAACCAGTCTGTGTCATGCTGAGCTTTTGCTCAAAGATGTGATGTATTGAAGGACACCAGTTTAGTGGCCCATAAAGTGGTGACTACACACAGCAGTTTTAAAAAAATGTACCAAATGAATGTTTCAGCTATCCAAATCAGTAGCAAACAGCTGGAGCATCCAGAATTTGAAATATATTTTGACTGAGCTCAACAATAAATGTTGCAAAATTATTGTATTTAGTAGGAGGGAAAAAAAACAAAAGGAAAGAAAGTTACAAATACCTTATTTTCCTAAATGTCATGTAGAGTCAACAGTTAGTACACTTAAGGCTCCTCGATGGTGGGAGAAAAATATTTGGGGATGATTGTTCATCATGTCCAATATTTTGTGGTGAAAAAAAAAAAAAAAAAAGGAATTTTATAGCTGCTTTGTCTGCATTCTGTCTTGCAGAAATGGGCAGAGTCTTGCACGGGGTTAATAGCTGGTGTCTGTCTTACAGAAACCAGGGCACTACTTGTTCATTTCAATATAGTATAATAATGAAGCCAAATCGCTTTCTCTAGATTTCTTTATTAATTCTAGGTATAAAGTGAACTTCAGCATTCCCAGTAGCCTGTTTTTTCTCTTTGTAATGATAATTCATTTCCTTGTAACAGTCATTTGTCACGTGGTGGCTTGGTGGTCGTATGTATGACGTCATTTACTTGGACTTTTAGGAGTGACATCATATGTACGGCTGCTAAACTGCTGCATGAGACTTCACTCACTTAAACAGTTTTCTTCTGAAGAAATCATACCAATCATTTTCAGGCTATCAACACAATCTGATTATTAAGTTGTGAATTATTTATTTCTCTTTAATAAAGAATGTTTATAAATTAATGAGGTATTCCTTTATTGTATCAAGATAATTTATATTTCCATCTGAAATAACTGATGGATGGATGGGATGGGTTTTTAACATGCAGTAATGGACTCTGAACACTCAAAATTTTTCAATACTGGAGGTAGCAACCATGTGAAAATTATTTAATCTTGGCTTTTTTATGGTGAAAACATGTGTTTTAAAACTTAATTCCTAAAATACCTAGATGTAATTATGAAAACATAGTAGCAGAGGTGATTCCTAGTCATTAATTCCATGAGAGCCTACACACCCACACAGAGACTTGTGGCACATTCCCAGCCTTTCCCATACTACACACCAAGCTTTTCCCCTCAGTAGTCATGCCCAGGCATCTGCTACCTCTAGTAAGAGAATAATGACCCAGAGATTTCTTTCTGCCCTCTTTCCCCTCTCCTCATCCCTCTGGTAAGGATTGTAAGAAGAATGAAACAATAATATCTGACATCACAAACTGTACCAAGATTTTTATCTGATTGAGCCCCAGGAATATAAGGCTGAATCATCAGCCCACTGAACTGACTTTGGGGGCATCAGGCTTTAGGCTCCCGACTCCCAGGGTGGTGCTGGATGTGTGATTCTCCTATGCCCAGTAGAATACACCAGCATTGCAAACAGAGCTGTGACTACTCAGCCTCCAGCAGGCCACTGAATTTATTTTTCATCAGTCTGCTGAAATGGTCATCTGATTTTAAGGTAGAAGAAAATACTTTTCAAACTTCTGTGGCCAGCTTTTCAAATCTAGGCAGACAGAAATGGGTAATAGCAATCAAAAGGAAGAGTATGTTTAAAGGGTATATCACAGATAAACATTACTAGTAACACACCTAAGTATAACCCCTTAATTTTATTTCACACACAAACTATTTGATTTCATCAAAAGTGCCTAGAAATACTTGCATGCAACTAATTTTGAAAGTCTGAGTCTTTGTGTTTGGTAATAAAGAAAAAATCAGATATCCTAAAACACAGCTGTAATCTAATATTATTATTACAGTCTTTACCCAAATTTGCTTTAGATTTACTGTAGACCATTAAGTGCTTTCCACTGATGAAGTAATTTCCATTGAGCTTTGGTGACACAGTCTCCTCCATATTTTTAATCTCTCTGAGTGAATCCCTGGCCCCAGTGTGGGCAACAGAAATGTTGCTGGCAATTTCAGCTGGGCCATGATTGCCTTGCTCAGAGGCAGTAGGATGAGCAGTCCTCCTGGTTACATGGTTGAGCACTTTCAGTAGTTTTGTGCACAATCCAAGATGTTTATCCTGTCTGCCACCACAGGTGCTCTTTGCCTCCAAGTATTAAAATATTCTCATTAACCTGTACCAAACAAGAGCTGACTTCTTCAGGAATTGGATTAGTCCCTTACACACAGGGAGTTACGAAACTGACCTTTCAGAGTAAGGTGTCTTCAGCCTCTGAATTGTATCTTACCCCTGAAAATCATCATCCCTAGTTATAAACTGTTGCATCTTCACAAGTTAAAGGATGAAAATAGAGCATTCCTTTTCTGATGGTGTATCTTACTTTTGATTTCAGCCTATATGTTTCTGTACTGTGCAATCTTCCAGGAATAGTCTGTCCTTTTAAAAATGTTGTGTAAAAGAGGATACAAAAAAAGTTAGAATAGGGGAAAGATGTTCCAAAGCACTAAAGAGGTTCTGCAGTTTCTGTCTGTGTAGTTGGCATTGACCAATTGTTTCATGTCTGTGTTGTGCTTTATTCTGTGCAGATAAAGCAAACAAAGCTGCAACAGTATTTATGACCAGCAACACCAGTCTTTCTGGTCTCTGTCAGTGTGAAATGATTTTGATCTTGTTTGGTTAAACAGATGTGAAGAACAGATCATCTCCTTTCTAGAAGAAAACAGAAATAAAATAAAAGCTTTGTTTCATGGCAAGGAAAATTGGTGGTGTTTTCCAAGCATAATCAGATTATTATGCTTTCAAAACATGAGTATGTTCCCAAACTGCCCCAGGATAACAGAGGAATCATTGAGAACAGAGGCGATGCCACGGAAGCCCCTCTAGCTTTTTTTGATGACACCATTATTGCTCTCTTGAATGCAAGCAGCTTGGAACTGAGGTACTACTCAAAATAAGAAAGAAAAAAGTAAGCACAGAGTATCTATGAATCACTGACACCTGTGCTGATGAATAGACACAAGGGGCTAAGACAGACCTGAGGGCATCTGAAGAACTTTATCTGCACTTTCCTACACTTCTTGCTGGATTTAGAACATTGCTTATTCGTTTCTTAAAGGATCTTTATAGACTCCAGATACTCCCTTTAATCTTTTGATAAAAGTGGGGGATGTGTGATATGTTTGCCTTTGCTTCTTTATTTCCTGTGCTGGCTTTCTAGATGCTCTAATTTTTCACTTGAGTGGCCAGATGAAATGTTCCAAATGGCTTCGCTGTCCAAGTGTATCAATGTGTATATGTGTATGCATACACATAAAATTTATATAAAATACTATCTGCTAGAAAATATCTTCCTTCTTATTAAACCCATTTTATTTCAGGTACATATTTAAGTGCAATGATATAAACTGGCTTAACTGTCCTCCAGTCTTCACACAATACCTATATACAGTTCAAAATGAAAATGTTAGTATCAAAAGAGATTATCTTAAATTAGGAAAAAATAATTGGGTTTATGAGTATAAAAAGATCAAGCTGACATGGTCTATCACAGAAGTATCAGGATAAAATAATGCCTTTTTTTCCAACTAAGTCAAACGTACTGTGATTTTGCTGCGTATTTTACCATGATGGTTTAGCTGTGCAAATGGAAAAGAAGGTAATGTATTAATGAGATACAGTTGCCTGTGATGTGCAATTAAAAAAGAGAAGCAGCAATTTAAGAAATAAGCTGATATTTGAACTTTCAAACCTGTCGTGTTTTCTGTTTGAACAACTACAAATGGTTGCTTAAAGATCTGCGTACTAGCATTTGGTGCTAAAAATGCCTAGTCTGTGTGTATATGAGAGTCCTAAGTTTTGAAGCAGCCTGGAAATGACACTGTAGGTGTTTGCAATGTCTTTAGTATGGTTTACTATAGGGAAAAAGTAGAGGGACATACTCTCCACTTGGAAAGTGCCACAACAGCATTGTTTTTGCTGGGGAAGCAGAGGAACTAATCCTTTCCTATCACCTTCATGCAGAGAATTGTCCTGGTACAAGATTAGGGCAGAACAGAATTAACTGAAGTTCCACACTCTCATTTCCACCCTGGCTCACATGTCTGGGCTGTGCAACGGATGGATGGATGGATGGATGGATGGATGGATGGATGGATGGATGGGAAAAAAGGTAGCTGACCTCTCTACCTGAGTTTTGCCTTCCAGAGGCAACAATCCTTCCTTTTGCCTTTCAGGCAGCTCAGAGTGGGAGAAGTCAGAAGATGCCACTTGATCAAAGAGGACTTTGTAATTCAGACTCTCAAATTTAGGATCCCTTTGCTTGGGTACTTAACCAAGAGCTAAGGCCAGGTAGGGAGGTTTAAACTGTGCCCTGTTTTCCTATGACTGTAACAGCTGAATGAGCTCAAAGCAGGTGACATAAAACTTAAAAGAATCAATTTTGAGACTGTGTCACTGAGCTATTTTATCTGGGCAGTCTGGAGAGAAATTGGCACAAGTGAGCTGAAATACATGAGTGTAACTTTGGGTAAATGCAATTTTTTTTTGCAGATCACTAAGTTACATTAAAAGATTTTGAAGACATTATCAAGTATTTCATGGTCCTCTCTTTTTCCATGGAAAAGGGCTTGGTTAAAATCCTGAATTTATAGTGAGGTAAACTAGTAAAAATTCAGCATTTACTTTGCAAGTAAAGGCCCATCTTAATGCTGAACACATGTGCAAATAGAAGGCCTTTGAAGAATGCATAATAGAGATTTCTGTTCCTTACTTTTTTTTTTTAATCCTCCTGGTTTATTCACTTGTACTAACAGTTTTTCCTTTCTGTACAGAGAATGGTTCCAAGTCTTTCTTCTACTGTAAATTATACTGATCCTACATTAGAGCCTGTAGTAACTGAAAATTCAATCATACGACAGAAGATAATAGATTCGCAGTTTAAATGCTATGAGAGGATGAACAGAGCTCCTCCGTATAAGAAAAAAGGTAAAAAAATATTTTTAAAAAATCTGTTTATCTATTGCCACACTTGCTTATATCGCTATAAGCATTTTCTTCTGCATACTAACCCATAGTCTTCCTCGAGGTGCAGTTTTCTTCCTGTAAGAAGTAGTCAAATTCACACTAACTTAGCATCCTCTTAAGTGCTAAGAAAGAAAAAAACCTGGAATGAGCCCTGGGAATGCACAGCTCTTCCTTCCTCCCCATGCAGATGCCACCTCAGTCATCTGTGTTTCTGGCTCAGTGCTTTGGTGCTTGAATTCTCATGTTCTTGCTTAGGGAATGGCATTTTCCAACAGCTTTCCGCAAGCTCACACAAACACCTGATGGTGAACAGTGATCTCTTAAATATAAAGGTCATTCTGTTTGCTTCACTCACTGTTTCATTTTTCTGTCATTTCTGTATTGACTGATAGCTGCCATGCTCTGTACCAACACAGATGTTCCAGGTATTCCATGTTCAGCAGTGAGACTAGAAAAAAGAGATTTATAAAGTACTGAGTACACATATTTATTGAATATGAGGCACATATTATAATTAATAAAAAGGGGAAATGACAAATAATAGTGGTGCTACAATGGCGCAGTATAAATGAAGAAGCATTTCTGGTTGGGACTGAGTGTTCTGGTCAATTTTTGTCACATTAAATAGGGAAGAAGTTATGAAGAGGCTAGAGAAAAACTATTGGAGGCATTGTGGGGATTTATGCAAGTAAAGCACAGAGATACTGAGGACACAATTGAAAGACAAAATATATTTTAAAATTGTGATTAAAAAAAGCCTGACTGAATAGGTGGAGTGGAGATAATGTAGGATTTTTTGTAATAAAAGAACAAAGACGTTTCTACAGCTCTTTACCACAAAGATTTTACTGGGCTCTATCAGACTCAAAGAATAATTAGATGTTTAAATACTCAGGTCTTGGTGCAGAAATTTTTTGGCATGAGTATGGAAATTCACGTTTTTTCGAATAGGTTTTTATTCAGGCCAATAATGGAAAAAATCCACAAGTATTTAAATAAGGTTATGGGATAGAAAGCATAATGTTTCAGACTTAAACAAGCCTTTAGTTCTTGGGCTTGAGGATGATGTAATGTCCTGTCTGCTCAGATTACTCTTTTAGTCTCCAGGGCTATAAATATGTAATTTTGCATGCATTAATAGTTCCACTGGATTCACCTTTCTTTTGCACCTTGCCTGTGTGATTAGCTGCAAAGGGATAAAGTGTTTTTTCACCATGAGCTGGGAAATTCATATGTCATGAGACACATGAATTCCTGGTAGTGTTCTCAAGGGCAGCATTGTCCCAGGAGGACAGCAGTGACAGACCTGCAGCCGGACACAGCACAGCAGTTCCTGCATTCCTGTGACCAGCAGCTAGATTTAAGCAATGCCGTTGGAGACTGTTATGTTTACAGCAACATGCACTTAATTAATTTATAACCCAGAATGAAGGTAATGGCTGGCTATAGAATGATGCCAACACTACTGAAGTTGCATTTTCAGCTGCATTACAGGGTCCTCACCAGCCCTCCAACATTTAGACTTCATAAAGGATTAGAAGTGGACAAGAGTCTGAGTCCCTTGGCTGCAAATTTTAAAGGAAGGATGGAATGAGATGGGAAATTCCCTTAATGCAAGGGACAACTGTAGGGTGTCTCCTGAGAGGAAAAGCCCAACACATAAGATGAAGAGGTTTACTGGGTATGCATTTTCAGCACAAACAGTAGTGGGGTCTAACACTGAAGTTCCCAGGAAAGCCCAGTGTCTGGTGCAGCTTTACAGAGCCAGCTGAGATGTGTCTGACTTTTCCCTGGCATCTCTGCAGTCCCCGATGTAGCCTATTTGTCGGCTGGCGCAAGGGTAGTTTAAATCCTTCATAATCCTGGGGCTCAAAGCTGATGGCAATGAACTGCAGAGAACTGCATAGTATCTCACACTCAGGAGCCAAAGAGATGGTTTAATACAGGTGAGCTCTGGCAGCTTTACAAGTGTCCGTGTGTCAGCAGAGCCAAAGTAACGAACTGTGTACCCACACTTATCTTGCCTATCTCAAGGTAGAATAAATTCCCCTAAATCTCAAAGAAATAACCAAATGAGGAGCTGAGGCACATGGGAACACTTGACCATCCCTCTGGGATGGGACAGCACAGCACTCCCACACTCCCTGTCCATACAAAAATGTGGTATTTTCAGCCAGTGAAACAAGCGATACAATGATAGTGTTCAATTCTTCCTTTTCTGCTTTATTACTGACACTGTTTTATTTCCTGCAGCATATAAAAAAAAAAAATATGTATGTGTGTGTATATCTATATATGTGCGTGTGTGTGTGTATATATATATATATTTATGGATTTATGGGTGCCTATATATCCTGTTACTTACCTTGAAAGACACATTCCACAATGTGTAGATCAACATCAGTGATTTTTTTTCTTTATCAGGCAAGGCAAAGGATTTAAAGCTAGAAATTCCTACAAACCTCATTCTGCAGTGTCTTTCAGATACAAGTTTAAGTTGCAAATATTTTCTACTCTCCTTTTTCTTCGTTATTAAAAAATGATTCCTAAAAGTCTTTCAGATACATCTCAAAACTAGAGAAGAATGTGAGAATGCCTGAAGGAAAGAGAGCAAACTGTTAATATGATGGTTGCTTAGTTAAGTGAACAAGTTGCATTAGCACATTTAACTTGACAGTGGAAAAATAGATGTGTGTGAAGTCTTAGCTAATGAAGAAAAACTGTTCATAAAAGTATCCTTTTTGCAAGATATCTAATATGGAAAAAATAATTTTGAAAGTTTTATGCTTTCAATTTTTAATCTACAACTATTTTGACTTAAAAACAGTTATTAGTGCAAATTTGAACAATACAGATGTCTTTCTACAGCTTTCTTGCTTCAGTAAGAAGGTTTATCTGTGGATAATTTCAACAGCACCAGAAGCAATTAGCTTCCAATATTTTATTAACTTTCAATGGTTATTAGGTGCCTTCCATATGATTCCTTAAAAAAAATCTACATTGTCATAGCAGCAATTCTGAAACTTCCTTGGGACCAGAGCAAAAAAGGCAAGATGCATCTTTTCACTGTGTTTCCCTTTAACCTGATGGTCAAGAGTATAAATACCTTTCCCCCAAGACAAACTGATTTTAAATGGAAAATAAGAAATATAGGGTGTTTTTGAATGTGTTACTTGGATAAATCCACAAGTCAGGAACTCATGTTACAGGAAGCAGTCTTATAGTCCAGTTTCTGTGGACCGTGGTATATAATAGCTCTATAACAGGAATCAAGAATGAGCTGTGTTCTGCCTCCCTAGTTTCTGGCTATCGTTTCTGGGGCTGGGAAGAGTCCTTGTAGGGGACACAGCATTGACAGTGCTGCCTTCCCAGAGCAGGATAATGAGGACAGGATCACAGCATGCCTACCCAGACAACATCAGCAGGCAGAGTTCGCCTGTCACAGATTGGTCTTGCACCTTGTTTCACTGGATCTGTAGTTACCTGGCAGATCTCTAATGTTGAGCAATGCAGCAACCTTATAGGGCCTGTCACTGCACATTGCCTTTAGCTGGGATGTCCCTGCAAACCCTTCCTACTTCTACATTTCAAGGACTTGATT